CTAGTGTAAATGGTAATCGCATAATTTCTGTTGAATTTCTCTTGAATTGTAGAATTTGCTGAATTTCTGCCGAATTGCAGAATTTGCTAAATTTCTGCTGAATTGCAGAATTTTTGCTGAATTTGCTGAATAATATGTCAAAGTTAAATGGTAACTCCGGAATTTGTTGAATCTGCTGAATTTGCTGAATTGTGTTACCATTTAGACCTTGAATCTAATTTTTTTTCTAAACATTTTTTTTAAGAGTATTAAAGGTTTTACTATTTTAAAAATTATTTCTCCAGATTCTAGATTAGATGATCCAGTGATAGAGCTTCCGCCTTTGAAAGTCAAGGATCTTCCGGTAATAGAAACGAACGACCCAGAGGAACTAGACCGAATCATTGACGACATGGTGGAAGGAGCCAAATCTTCTTCAGGTGTCATATGGAACACATTTGAAGATCTTGAAACACTCCAACTCATGGATTTGAGCCGCAACTTCCAAATTCCCTTCTTCCCGATCGGACCATTTCACAAACATAGCGAGAATCTTCCATCGACAAAGAACAACAAAGAAGATAACGCAATAACCGATTGGCTCGACAAGCAAGTGTCAAAGTCAGTGGTTTATGCGAGTTTTGGTAGCCTTGCAACTCTAGGAGAGAAGGAGTTTCTCGAGATTGCTTGGGGTCTAAGAAACAGCGAACAACCGTTCTTGTGGGTGGTTAGGCCGGGGTTGGTCCGAGGGGCTGAGTGGCTTGAGTCATTGCCTTGTGGGTTTATGGAAAACATTGGACATAAGGGGAAAATTGTGAAATGGGCAAATCAGCTAGATGTATTGGCGCATCCCGCGGTTGGAGCATTTTGGACGCATTGTGGATGGAATTCGACGCTAGAGAGCATATCTGAAGGTGTTCCAATGATATGTACACCATGTTTCACGGACCAGCTTGTGAATGCAAGGTACATTGTCGATGTGTGGCGAGTCGGAATAACGTTGGAACGAAGTAAGATGGGTAAGAGAGAGATTGAGCAGGTCGTAAGAAGTGCAATGATAGATAAAGGAGATGGTATGAGGGAAAGGTGCATGGCCTTGAAAGAGAAGGCTGATATTTGCTTAGGTAAAGATGGATCTTCGTCTATCAATTTAGACAAACTTGTGACTCATGTCTTGTCTTTTGATTCATATGCTTTTGCAAGTTAGAAAAATTCCGGAGCAATGATTTACAATTTTAAGCATTTTGATCATCGAACTTTTGGATGTTCTCTTTTTTTTTCTCTTTCTTGAAATAATATGTTGGTTGTTTAAGTTTTAAATTTATCCTTGTAAAAATCAGTATTACATCTAGGGCAAAAATAACCAAACCAACTGAATATGGCCTAAATCAAATGAAACCGAAATTAAGATTCTAAAGTTTGAATCCAATCTTACACACAAACTATACTATAATCTATCAATACATTTTTCTATATAAAAAATACTAGTCTCCAATTGGTCAACAACTAATCCCACTATGAAAAATTAAAGAGTTATTTGCTAAAAAGTCATACTATTGAAGATCAATTACTAAAAATTTATATTTTTTTTTATTTAAAACCAAAAAAATCATAGAATCAAAACTCTTTACAAAAAATCACAAATAGCTTGGTAAAAGATATTTATGCCCATAAAACATATCTCCTTCTCTCTTCTCTCCTTTCTTTGCTCCCTCTCTCCTCTCTCTTGTCGCATCTA